AACTCAGTTACTTCAAGTTACTTGTTACTTTCAAAGTAACTAGTTACTAGGGAAAGTAACTTTGGTTTTACTCAGAATTCTCTTATTAACGTGTTGCTTCCCCAATTGGATACCCAGCAAGGATGCCAGTCTTCTAGCTTGCTTACATTTTAGCACTATCATACCAAAATTTCGAGAAAGATGACTTGAAATTTCGAGTTATGGATACTTTTTTTTTTGGTGGTAGAAATAGTATGCTGTACAATCACACAAAGAATAAAAGAATACAAAATGAGAGATGGTACGTTAAGGGCAAATTTACAAGATAAGAAAAAAATAAGAAATGAGACATTGATACAGATTACACTAATTTGAAAAAAATTACAGACTGTTAATTGTATTTCTGCATCAAAAAGCAAATGACTATTAATATGAAATAGAAAATATGGGTGAACTTGCCAGTGTTTTTATTTCAGGAGTTTAGATATATTTCAGGTGTGTTGACCCAGGGTCATATCTAAAACATGCAGGACACCAGCCCTTTGTCCACCACTGATATAAACAGACACTGTAGTGCTTTTGTCAGTGTAAATTGCCTCATTATGTTAAACCTTGAGTATTGACAGTGAGAAAATAATATTAATGTTTGTTTAACATCCACAGACATAAGAAAAGAAACAGGTAACATGTAGTTTCATCAAGTTATGACAGTTTTATTTGCGTATTTCAGTAGATGTATTCAGAATAGAGTTTTTAAAAAAACAAACAAATGTCCAAAGGAAAGTTTGTGGGGATTTGGGGTGAGGGTAGAGAAGATGAGAGAAAAGAGAAAGAGACTTGATTTTTTTTTAAAAAACATTTATTCACTTAAAAGTGAACCATGCAAAATACAGCTCAAATCAACACATTCCTAAATAAAAGTTCAGAATTTGTTAAAGAAAACAGACTACCTTCATAGTCCCAAAGATTTCGAAAAACATCCAACTCATCCATTTTGAAATAATACTTATATTCTAACATCACTCGTGCTCTTAACATACTCTTGAAAAGCTGTACACAATCAGTATTTCGTCCATTATCAATCTTATATCAATCTATCTTGTATTTTCTACTCGAATAAATTGCCACCTTTGCTTGACCCCGGATAAAATTCATCAATCGCTCCTTCTTCTTTCTTTTGTCATATGAGAAACCAAAAGTAAAACACTGTTTTGTAAAACATTCTCCAAATGATTCCCAAATACCACTAAGTACTGAAAATAAATCCATTAATCTGAAACACTGCACAAAACAATGAAAAATAGTTTCTCTCATTGAACAAAAAGGACATTTGTCTGCAAACCTCAGGCTTAATGATGGACACAAAAGCATTAACCGAGAGAGAGAGAGAGAGAAAGAGAGAAGAAGAATAGGGTGAAAGAAAAGGGGAAAGAGGGGGAAGTTCAAGTTCAAATTTTATTCGCCACATGCAGTGG